GCCTTCGCCTTCGCTTTTCCTTTAGCCTTGCCTTTGGCCTTGGGTTTCACTTGGGCACTGGCCAACGGTGGTATCGGCACTCGAAGCGGCGCTCCCTGTGCTGCACTCGCAGAGGTCGCCGGTGCAAGCTGCGGAGGCTGCTGGTCGTCGTCATCCGGCAACGGCACATCGTCTGATGCCTCGGCCACCTTCTGGACTGGCTTGGACTTGGCAGCTGTGGCCACCTTCTTATTCACTTTCACAGAAACGGGCGCTGGAGCACGATTTGTGAAGCTCAGATCCATCGCCTCGGCTGGCGATGGCTGCTCGGCCTTCACAGCTGAAGCATCTGCTGCCTTCAGGGACAGACGAATGTCTGGAGCAGACCAAGGAGCGGTCGAAGGAGAGGCATTGTTCCTGATCATCGTCCTCAAGTAAGAGCTGGCCCGTCCCATGTTCCATGGCATTTTCGCAATCTGAATCGCTGTTTTTTCAAACTCCTTGGCTTGTGTGTCTGAGAACTCCCTGCGTGGGGCCAGGGGCAGGCTCGCAAAATCGATGTCTCTGCCAACACATGCAGGAATGAAGACAATGGGATCCTGGCACTGATCTGGCGAGGAGATGTATTGGAACATCTCCAAGATGATATCATCCTCATGTGGCGGGAACAAAAGGCACTCTCGCACAGGATGATCCTCGGTTGGATTGTAGTGCTTCCGCTGCACCAAGGAGAAGACATGGATGGCCTCCTCGCCCCTCTGTGTCATGGCGGCTGTTTGCACATGCCCTGCCAACTGTATGGCAGCGAACTCCTCCAGAGCGTCTTTGAAGTTGTAGCTGCCCTCAATCTTCTCCACGTTGATCTTCTGACCCGGCTTGGGCTTCATACCCCCTGCCACCACAGACATGAAGTCTTCAGGTGTCTCCAGGTCCTCGCTGTCAGCCAACAGGGACCGCACCACGCTGAACTTCTGATCAACGGGACCATGAGAATGTCCAACGCGGAAGCTTGTCAGCAAGAACTCCCGGCACCACCCCTGCCGGACCAACACGGCCCCTGCTTTCAGAACAATCTGATTTTTGGTCTCGCCTGCTGCATTATCACTGTGGACCCTGATCACCTTTGGCGCAGATGATCGCTCCTTCATGGCCCTTTGCAGTGTGCGAAGCAGCAGTGTAAGCATGAGGTTGGAGTCTTTCACCACATCTTGGTCCAAAACATAGTAGTCTTCGCAGAACCTGTCCGCCAAGACAGCGGTAAAAGTATTTTCCGGTCTCCACAGCTTCTGAAATTCTTTGGACGCCGACAAGCGCCGTGGGCACTTAAATTTGGCGCAGTCCATGCTGTCGATCGTGAGCGACACCATGGTTTCTCCAGAGCTGCCTTGAGCATTCAGCTCTGCATCCATGCGCCGGTCGTCTAGCATCGACTGCAGGTGCTGGCAGTAATCGTTCTTGATGAGCTGCCGGTCCTCTGGACCGGTCGCCACACGCATCCACTGCTTCAGCTTCTCACACTCGGCGCACTTGGAGTGCTGGAGGTCGTACCTGATCTTGAGCCGCCCATGCCAGGATTGGTGAAAGCATCGGACAAACGTCGAGTAGCTCGGGGCAGGGTCCACCGGCATGAAAGACATCGCCTCAGGTCGCCATGATGTATTTCCCAAATTACCTGCCCAACCGAACCTATGGATTCTATTGAAACTGCTGTTGCTGCTTTCTCAATCTGTCTCCGGCCGGGGCACAACCTGGCGCATCTCTGTGAAGGTCGTGTGTGGCGGCAGATAGCGAACCACTTCATCGCCCAGGGCTGACTCTTTCAAGAGGCCGCTTTTGTTGAAGCTGCCCAGCTTCATCTTCGTTGAGGTGAAAACATCACCAGACTCCACCAAAGGCTCGGCCATGTGCAGATGCACCCATGCCAGCAAACTATGAGCATTCACCTCTGCTGGGTTCGAGGACAATTGGCTCGAGACGACCTTTCGCAAGTCGTTCGGTGGCTCTAGGAAGCCCTGTGCCTGGTGCTTCTGCATCTTCGCAAACCGCCTAGTGCTCATCTTCAGCAAGCCACACATTGCCATTCTGCATACTTTCACCCCGCAGAAAGTGTGCTGCCGCCACCCAGACCCAGTGTGCCAATTGCGCATGCAATCATAGCGGATTCTATCCGAATCTGATTTTGAAGCAGCTTGCAGTGCTTGTTGCAAGTCATCTACGATTCGTTGGGAGGAGCTGCTCTCGCCCAACACCATCAAACATCCTTGCTGGCAGCACCCTCCATTTCTTTCATTTTCTCCATCACTGCCAGAAGGCAAGCTGACAACTTCTGCATCGGAACTTGAGGGCAGCTCCACTTCCTCCTCACTCGCCATGGTATCACGGAAGTCCTAGAACCGATGATCTCTTGCTCTCATGTATATCACGGATGCTGAAGATTCTCCTAGGCCCCTTTGGCCTTGTGATCACTCCTGGACCCGAATTGTCGAACCTTCGAAAAGCATCCCTTCTAATATTCCCTGGAGCACTCGCTGCGCTCCAACAAAACTTGAGAATCATGCTGCGCACGTGGCTGGCAAAATGAACCTCTTTCAGATCTGAAAAGAGTACCAGAGTCTACAAACGACGCCAGATGAACCCTCTCTCAGGGTCCCCTGCAGCATGTGATGAAAAAGCCTGCCTCCACTGAGTCGAGCTGGTCCACTGATGGCCTGGGCGAACGAGTGCAAAGCTTCTAACAATAGCAGCAAGAACAACAACAAGCAACAACAACAACAACGACAACAACAACAACAACGAGGAGAACGACAACATGAGCAACAGCAAGAGCAACAGCAACCTGCCTCCACGGATTCGAGCTGGTCCAGTGCTGACCTTATGAGCAAAAACACAACAAGCTCCGTGCCCAGAAGCATGACGAACAAGTAGCTGCATTCACTCAGCACCCTTTTGCAAGACTCAGCACCCTTGGCACGGAGGAAGGCGGTGCTAATTAGGTGGCTCCCTGCTATGTTGAATCTGAACACCGCAGCAGAAGCGAATGCTGCATGCTGAAATCAGTCCATGATCTGGTTCAGGGGCAGCAGGTCTTGACTTTCTTGTGCAAAGTCCGCAGCACTGTTCCGTGTCTCCCCATCTGTGTGAAGCCCACGTGGACTTGACCTGTGTGCGGAGCTGTCCTGTGTCTGCCTGGCATCCATGTACCGCCTCAGGTCCTCGTGCCCTTCCATGCGCAGGATCATATCCTCGAGTCTCTGCCAAGCCTGATCCCAAGAAAAGCTTTCACAGCCCATATGCAATTTTGCAAGTGCTGTTGTCCTACCTCCTTGTTTTGCTATTGCAAATAAGTTGCCGCAGGAGTTTCAGGAAGCCGAAGCCGTTGTCGCTTCCTCGAAGGCTCGCCTTGCTCTGCGCCGGGGTCTTGTAGATCGCTCAGGCCCAGGACTTCACCCTCAGCACATTCGTTTGCCTCGACGCCGGAGTCAGAGTCCCAGATTTGTGCGTTCATCCGCCTTAAAGGGCAGGCTACTGCTGCAGTTGGAGCAACGCCGTCCCTGATGCGTGTGTTCATCCGCTTCAGGGGGCAGTCTGCCATGAGAGCCTACAACGGTCAGGCAAGGATCAGCAGCCGTTTCCTGGAACACGGAGCCCGAGAGCGAGCTGCAGTTTGCAAACATGATGCAACAACTTACAGTCACCCATCCGTCATCCATCCAAATGTGTTGCTTCATGTGCAAGAACGTGTTGAAGCAGTGAGCAATGTAGCCCCATGTCTGTAAAAACTGAGACCCTGGCAGAGAATGTGGGAGTCCGCCTACCCACTGTGGACATGTTTATATTCTCGTGGGAGTCCGCCTACCCCGGGAGAAAGCGGACTCCCATGCCGAAACCCGAGTTTTAAGCCGATGACAGTCTCAGTCTCTCATTTTCTCAGAAAGCAACACCCAGGTTGCTCGCAAGTGGGTCGCTCTCTCAGCGACTCTGAAGCCCGAGCTTTCGAGCTGTCACTCTCTCAGTGACCAGAGATCAACACCCAGGTTGCTGGCATTGCTGGGAAGGTCACTCTCTCAGTGACTCTGATATGCAAACTTGAGAAAATAAACTGATTGAGCTAACACAGCCCAACAATGCCAAGGTCGCGACAGCGTCGGTTCCCGGCCAGGATCTCTGCCTGATTGCCATGAAGAGAAGTGCTAAATGGTATGTGTACTTAGGATTCGAGCCCTGCCAGGTCGCACCTTCCACCATTGTGCGGTGTCCAAGTCTCAGCAATCCTGCCCAGTAGAGTGCAAACAACGGGGAGCACTGAGAGAGTGCAACAACACTTTGCGCTGAGAGAGTGCGACAGAACAACACTTGACCACTGAGAGAGTGGGACAGTGCAGCAAGTCCTTCGCTGAGTGGAAGGCCCATGGATTGAATCATGCACCTCGACCGGCAGTTGCACTGTAGTAATAAGTGTAATCAGCAGTCTGTGCCACTTCAGGCGCACTCGCTTCGTGCCCCTCGTGGTCCTGCTCTCTCAGCAGTTCAAGGTGCACTCTCTCAGTGCCCGGATTCGTCGGTGTACTGAGAAGCAGGCCGGCTTGTTGGCTGAGCTGAGACAGCACAGGCGCCAGAAGCAGTGACCGAGCACATCGAAACTTCTGCCGGGGTGCAGCAAATAGCTCAGCCCCAGGCCTCCTCGGTGTGGCACTGACCTTGTCACACAGGCACGCCGGTTTCATCTCGAATCTTGTATGCTTGCTTTGAAGTCAGCGTGCCCATGACATGTGACTGCGCTGTGTCCACAAAATGGATTCAAGGCTCATTTCAAGGCCGAGTTTTCGAAGGCTTTGCAGAGTCTGAGTCGTGACAACGAACATAGCTTGCATGATACTTCGCATTGCCCAGGGTGACATCAACCATCATGCATGTCACATATCCAAGTGCCAGCCAGGCCTATGTACAACCCAATATGCATGGTACGTCTACGAGCGACAATAAATCGTCATGCATTGATAGTTGCTTGTTTGCAAGCAACCATGGGTGAGTGGTCTGGCTGGTCCTGGAGAACATGGGAGGCTGAGGCGGCTCAGGACACCCGTCCTGCCTGGTCAGACAGGCAGTGGCAGGACCATGCTGGAGGGCAAAATGATGCTTGGGGCGGCGACGGCGGTGCCAGAGCAAGCGAGCCGGCTGTCATGTCTTCAAGACCGAAGGCTAAGGCCAAGCAGGCGCCAAAAGCAAAGGCAAAGCCTAAGGCCAAGGCTGACAACCGTAATGCCAGGGACCGGCGGGATTTCGAGAGGTGGAACTCGGACCACCGTCGGATGATGGTGGCAGAACACGAGGCGGAAAGGAGCGCCGCCGCTTTGCAAGAGCTCCAGTTCGAGTTGTGGTCACTCGAAATCACCACGGACCTCTTGCAGACAGACATGGAGAACCTCCAGACTGAGCTCAAGCAGGAACAGGAGAAGCTGCGAGAGGAGCAGGGGAGGAACAGCCGCTTGCTCAATGACGTAGACAAGGCTATGCGGCAGAAGCTGGATCTGGAGCAGAAGATATGTGAGGTCCGGTCGCAGAAAGACGAGCTCTCTGGCAAACTTAAACAATGCGAGAAACGGTTGGAGTCCGCACAGTTGGACACAGCGGCCCTCAAGAGACAAGGGAACGCCGCGGAGTTCGACTTGAAAAGAAAGACCGAGGAGAACACCGCCATCCGAGCCGACCACAGCAAGTACAAGGCAGGATGGGATGGAGTATAAGGGTGTTGTTGGTTTGGAGTCTCACTCCAGCTGCCATTGTGCAGGCGAAGACAGACAAGGTCATCGAGGAGTTGACAGCGGAGAAGGCTGCGAGCCTTAATCCTCGCACGATTGGTCTTAGGAGTCTCGCTCCAGCTGCCATTTTGCAGGCGAAGAAAGACAAGGTCATCCAGGACTTGACAGCCGAGAAGGCTGTGAGCCTTATTCCTCGCATGATTGGTCTTAGGAGTCTCGCTCCAGCTGCCATTTTGCAGGCGACGAGAGACAAGGTCATCGAGGAGTTGACAGCCGAGAAGGCTGTGAGCCTTAATCCTCGCACGATTGGTCTTAATGTTTCCTTTGTCAGGATCGCTACAAGCTGCTGTGTTCTGCCTTCGAGAAGACATACAATGAGGCAGAAGCTCGTAGTACTTCTGGTCTTATGACTTATGCCACAGTATGGGAGACTGGAGTAACTACTGGCACAGGTCCCCGCACCACCGGTTCAGCCGATTCCGGAGCCCCTGGTTTTTGGACAGACAACCCGAGCCACGGGGATACCCCTACGGTTGCCGGGGCAAAGTGCTGCCCGAAGCCCAGCACATCCTGCGTCACCTGCACCTCCACTCTTGATTTCGCTACAGATGCCATTGTGTGTGTGCAGGTGCCTGTCTCCAGTGGGGGAATCCAGACCAAGGCGAGGTCTTTCGCCTCATTGAAAGCCCAGACTGAGCCTTCTAGATCTGAGGCAAGTGCGACGGCCGAAGCCGAGGTGATTTAGATGATGCTAGAGTTCTGTTCGTATCTCATTTCTTGGAAGGTGCAGAGCGTGACTGCGACGAAGGCCTGCTCGGCGCCGGCAGAGGCCAAGAAGGCATGCCTGCTTTGTGACAGTGGCTGGAATCAGGTTTCTGCAATTATGCCCTTTGTGCTGCACACATTTGGCTCTGCAGGTGTCCCCATTGCCCGCGGGGGTGCCTGTGGAGGCTTGGCCTCCCCCTCTGCCAAAGGCCCACTTCAAGAAGCTGCTGTTCCTCTGTAGCTGTGGCTCTATTTTGGACTGTCCCAGCCATCCCATCCCTTCTTCCTGCAGGCGACTCCTGGTCCTGTCCGAGCTAAAGAGGAAACGGAGGACATCACATGGACGGGTTTACCCATAGACACACAGACTTTGATGCCCCCGACAGGTTGCCGTGGCCAAGAAATCCAGTGGGTCTTCGGCACAGGCCCGACAATTTTTGCACTCCCCGGACCCTTGTTTGGAGAAGTGGATACCATGCTTCAAAACCGAAGGCTCCCCCCGCGAAGAAAAAGCGATTGGAGCCGACAAGCAAGTCTCCTCCGATTCCGGTGACGACAGCCCCAGACTCAAGAAAACCGCATCGAGTGGATGAAGCGTCGCAGCGAGCCCCTTCCCCAGCCTTGCAACCATGATTATGTCAGGTGCCGTTGCCAAAGACTCCAGCTCCAGAGGCTGGGAACCCACTGTGGCCAAATTTCCCAAATGCACATCATTGTGTCAGGTACCCGTGCCAAAGACCCCGACCCCGCTGGATGATTTTTATGAGGTCTTGAACCCAGTGTGATTCATTCCACAGGGATCCATGTTCGTTGTCCCTTGCCCATTCTGTCAGGCTTTCAGGCCAATGAGTCCGCCAGCGGCAAAGGCTGCAAACCCTGTGGGCTGCGATTCATTCTATGTGCATCCACCATGTTTATTGTCAGGTCCCCGCCCCGCGAACACCCTTGGTGGCAGAGGTCTTGAACCCGGTGCAACGCATTCTTTTTGGATCTACGTGCATTGGATTCACATGAGAGCACAGGTGCCAGCGCCGGCAACTCCTGTGACGGTACCAGCCCGAGGGATTCCGGTTTAATCATGGTTTTAATATTGTTCTTTCGCAGCTACAGGCAGTGGACACATCGGTGCTTCCAGCCGAGGCACAGTTTCTTACAACCCGCCCATTACCATGTTCGAGGGATTCTAGATCACATCATGACCAGGCCATGCTACCACGGCCTCCACCGATGACGCCGAATGAGGCCGTTTCTTCATTCCTCCATTAAACTACCCTCCACCCTTTCTGCACCTGGGGCAGGTGAAGAGTCCGCAGCCGCGCACCCCGACGACACCCAATGATTCTGATTGATGCGCACAAAAAGTCTAATGCTGTGACTGCTGTGCTCGAGTACAGTGCATATGTTTGTATACGACCGACATGCAGATATGTGGCAGGCTAGAAAATCCTTCCTACGTAAAGTCCAGCACTCAGAGTTGGCACTGACAAAGGGACAACGATTGCCACTCGACTGAGGCCGGCACTCATCCTCATCGACGGGACGACTGTGTTGTCCTGCGAGGAGCCGTGCTTTCGTCGAGAACTGCGCGTGTGCAAGTGTGTGCAAGTGTGTGTGTGTGTGTCGCTGTGTCTGTCTGTCTGTGTGTGTGTGTGTGTGTGTGTCTGTGTGTGTCTGTGTGTGTGTGTGTCTGTGTGTGTGTGTGTGCACGTGTGTGGTCGATGGGTGGGTGGTGGGTGGGTCGGTGGGGTGTCGGTGGGGTGTCGTGTGGGGTGTGTGTGTGTGTGTGTGTGTGTGTCTGTGTGTGTGTGTGTGTGTGTGTGTCTGTGTGTGTGTGTGTGTCTGTGTGTGTGTGTGTGCACGTGTGTGGTCGATGGGTGGGTGGTGGGTGGGTCGGTGGGATGTCTGGGGTGGGTGGGGTGGCATGGGGTGTGGGGTGGGGTAAGTGTGCTGTGTCTGTGTGTGTGTGTGTCTGTGTGTGTCTGTGTGTGTCTGTGTGTGTGTCTGTGTGTGTGTGTCTGTCTGTGTGTGTGTGTGTGTCTGTGTGTCTGTGTGGTTGGTGGTGTGGGTCGGTGGGTAAGTGTGTGCGTGTGTGGTTGGTGGTGGGTCGGTGGGTGGGGGGTGGGTTGAGTGGGGCTGGGGAGGTGGGGAGGGTGGGTGGGGAAGGGATTGGGGCACTCTCTCAGTGCCCCGTAGTTTTGGCCCTCTCTCAGGGCCGGGGCACTCTCTCAGTGCCCCCGTGATTTTGGCCCTCTCTCAGGGCCGGGGCACTCTCTCAGTGCCCTGTTCGGCCCTCTCGCAGGGCCGGGACACTCTCTCAGTGCCCCCAT